CGGCCGCTCGTGGGCTGTAGTGCGCGGGAGAGCAGCCTCCGAGTCCGCCACACTTCGCCCGCCGGTCCCGCAGAAACGCCGGCAGAGCCCGGGGGCGGGCCGGGGTCGCGGATCCCCAGGAGGCGGCGCCAGCAGCTCGCGCGGCCCGGGGCCCACGCGGCGGCCCGATCCCAGCCCGCGGCGAGCCCGCCGGCGCGTCCCGCCCGCGCTGCCCCGACCTTACCTTCCCCCCGGCTCCGGCAGCCGGGGCCTGCGGAGGGGCTGCCTCCTGGGCAGGGAGCGCAGGGCCGGGCGCGGCCTCCCCACGGGGCCTCACGGCAGCCTGGTGCACGCGGGCCCGCAGGCCCCTCACTTTCCCCATCTTCCCCGGCGGAGACCCTCGGCCTCCGCGGCGCACGCGCAGGAGGGCCTTCCGGAGGCGGTCCTCCGCTCTCGCAGTCGCCGGGCGGCAACAAGAGCTGAGCTGCACCTGCGTTCCCGGAAGTGCCCGGGTCGGCGCGGCGCTGGGCCGGGGTCACGCGCGGGAAAAGCGCGGGAATGTCTGCTCCCGACGCTCGCCTCGGGGAGCGGGAGGATCAGAGGGCCTGCGCGGCGGTGTAGGCTGCGGGCAGCGGCGTCTGCGGGAGCGGGGCCGGGACGAGCGTCGTCTGCCCGCCGCGCGGGGGAGGCCGAAGCCCAGGTGCGACGAAAAGATAGGAGGCCCAGGGAGACCCGGGCCCGGCGGGCCGCGGACACGAGCTGCCTCGGCCCCGCACTAGCGGTTTCCACGGGTAACAAGGGGGCCGGGGTGGCTGATGCGTAGTCGTCAGTCAGAAACTCCCCCTGGGTTCCAGAAAAGCGTGGGTCAGCCGCCGGCCGTGCGCGGGAGGGCTGCAGGGTTGGCGCCTGCGGCCGGCGGTAGCAACAGCCGGTACAGCCCCAAACCGGGCAGCGGCGCCCGCGAGCCCGGCGCTCGGGACCAGGGGCGGAGGACCCATGGGGCCAGGAGTGAGACCAGCCCGGGCAAGGCAGCGAGACCCCGTCTCTACAAAACATTAAAGAAAGTTAGCCCCGAGTGGTGGCGCTCGCCTGTAGCTTGGGAGGAGTTCCAGGTTACGGTGAGCTATTTTTCATAGATCCTTTTTGTCACACCAATCAGACCTGACTTTCTGTGTCCTTGGCACCTGACTCCTTTCAGGAATAAAGACCTTGAAGCTTGCCCCTCACTCCCTCCGGCTCTCACCAGCGGCTGCAGAGGGGCCTTGGCTCCGTCAGTGCCCGTGTCACTTGTCCCCACTCTCCTGCCATAACAGACATGCTGTCATGGCTGTCGCCTTGTACATACAAACGAGCTTTCCAAAGAGAAGTTTCAGGAAAGAGTTAATGTGTAGCAACAGACATGTATAAAAAGTTGCCCACTGGTCTGCCGATGCATACCCAGCAATGCCGGAAGACTGTGTCTGGGAGAACATAGCTACAGATGGCTTTCCACTATGGGGCATAACCCAAATTCATGAGGGATGCTGGGAGCCCCTCAAAGGGATCCGTGGCACCCTCCAGGGCAGCCACCAGGCAGGCGCAGTTTTCATCCAATGTAAAGGCCACGTCTAGGATGGGTGGGCTTACCCTGCAGGCTTCATGGGGGCTGGGGCAGCCAAAGCCCTGGTCCCATGAGAGACCTGACTGTCACCCATTGCGACCAATGTAGCACGTGTGAGGACCCTGGGGGCCAAGAGACAACAGTGATGACAAATGCCAGCCCCAGCCTCGAGGCGGACACTGGCCCTGCCTGGCCATATGGACATCCCCACCTGCCCCCAGCTGTCTCCACGCAGCTGAGCAGCGTCAGGGGCCTCTCTACAGGACTGGAGCTCCAGGTCTCCACTCTGCACCCGGGGGCTGGAGCTGGTCTACAATGAATCACGCTTCTACTTGGTATCTGCCACCTCGGGACGCGGGGAGCAGGAGTCAGGTGAGGCCCCTGCAGACCTGCTGGGCCTCGAGGGACCTCACGGCTGCCCAGAGCCAGACTGCATGGTACTGCTCTGACCCAGGGAATCACTGGTGCCTGTGGGAGCAGTCTGGCCCCTCAGGAAGGCCGCCCAGTGTCCACATCAGGAAGATCGCAGACGCCCAAGGGCGGGCGCACAGCACCGGTGTGCCGGATCCTTGCAGAGCCTGGGCTGGGCCTGGAACTCTGCAGGTGCAGGGGGTGCCCCAGAGAGGGTCTCCACAGATGCTCTCTGCACACTCCTCGCGCCCTTCTCTCGGCCCTGGAGTGGTGCGTGCCGGCTCCAGATTAGGAAGAGGCTCTGCTCAGAAGCCTTTCAGCGTGCTGCCTCTGACCAGGGTTCTGTGTCAGGACCGCCAGCGTTGAGAGAGGGCCCGTCCCCTGCACCAAGAGCCAGCAGGCGGCTGGGTGTTCATGGTTCCCCTTGGGCCCGTGAGAGGATGGCGGATTGACCCCCCCACACCTCAGGCCCTTCCTGTGTCCCAGGCCTGGCCCCCTGGCCTCTAGGACTGCCTTGTCCCAAGGACTCCCAGGACCCTGCCGCTGGGTGTTCTCTGCTCCTCTGGACATCCCTGGGGCTGCAGCTGTGGCCTGGGCCATGGGAGAGCCCGGGTGACTCCCTGGGGTGGGGGAAGTGCCCCTCTGTGAAAACAGAAAGCAACTCCCCACTCTGAGCCAAGGATCTCCAGCCTGAAAACCTCAGGCATCTGTTCCCTTTTTCTTGGTGCAGGCTGGGACAGGCAGGCAGGTCTCAGCTCAGCTGAGCAGCTGGGGACTAAACCACATCCCCTGAGAGAGGCCCGACTTTCTCCATGAGCTCTGGGGAGGGGGCTTCTGTACCTGCTATTGTCCCTACGTGGTGGGTCCCTCCCACTTGGCTCCTCCCACGCACCCTTCCGAACATTTTCCTTTCTCAGAGAAGCCTGTCCAGGTATCACTTCCTCCAGGAAGCCTTCTCAGATTTCCCCAATTGAGTAGTGAGACTTGCCACACCGCCGTGTGCACAGCCCCTTCCCTGGAATTGTAATAACTGGTTTTCCTCTCTCCTGGAGGGCAGGATGAGAGTTTTCACTTGGGCCCCCTGGTGGAAGCCCAGCTCCTGACACACCCGATAGAGGTTTATCAAAAAGAACATGGGGGAGGGACGTGGGTAACAGTCCCAGCCGCCAGCTCCACCTGAGCTAGGAAGGTTCTCTGCAGTGAATTCCATTCAAGCTCACGGTGAGCTCAGTAACAGCCTCACGCACGGGGGTGCACAGACTGCTGCCCTCACAGCTCTGTCCCGCTCCGGGACCAGGCCTTTGGCACTGGCCAGCCCAAGCAGGAGGTCCAGAGCCACAGGCCTTAACGTGTGCCCCCGAGAGGCGGTGCTGGGCTGCCTCTACATCTGTGTCACCTGGGGCCTTGTTAGAGATGCAGATTCTTGGGCCACGCCCAGACCTGCTGAATGAGAGACCCCGTGGACAGGACCCAGCAACCTGAGCTTTCACAAGCCCCCAGGAGGCTCCTAGGCATGGGGACCGCAAGTTCGAGGCTGAACTGACAGGAGCCCACCTCCATCGGCCCCTCCCAACCGGGCACTCCCTCAGAGACGCACCCAGGATATGGCCACGACCCCTGGACTGTCCACTGGGGTCACCTTCTGCAGGATCCATGCGAAGTGTCAGCTAGCCAGCCTCGGGAAGGCAGTATTCATTTACGAGGGGCATCTGCACCTGTCACTTACGTCACTGCCACTGCTTGATGCAAACATGGCCCGTGCCCAGGTGTCCAATCAGAGTGACTGCCTGGGAATGCCAGCTCCGTGCTCACAGGAGCACCCGGGCCTAGGGGCTCGGCCACTGCCCGCTGCTGCTTGTGGGGGTCCTGGCCATTCCTCAGATTCCTTCAGCTCTCAACATGCCCAGGGGCCATATTTTGGGGTGGTGTGTCCTGAACCTCAGCAGAGAAAGCACACAGAGCAGGGGCAGCAGGATGGTGCTTCTCCAAGGCGTCCTTGTCTCTGACCATTGTGGGGGCAGGTTGGAGCCAAGTCTCGGCAGGGCATTGAGAACCTCAAAAGGACCCTAGGCAGACAACGAGTCCACCCAAACCCCTGCACTGAGACCTGGCCAGCCCTCGCCTGGCTTCCAGCAGCCCACTCCGAGCGCCTGTGTGGAAAGCTCAGGGCTGTGGAAAGAATTCATTACTCGTTCCAGCAACACCTAACATGGGCCCAACCATCCTTTCTTGCAGCATTTGCTAACAGGCTGATAACTGGGACCCTCCTCTGTCCTTTGAGATGCCTGTGCATCTCCTGAAGCCGGGAGTCTCCCCAGGCCGAGAGCCACCTCTGAAACATTGTCATCAGAAAGGACGGGGCCATGGCCCCCAGTCGGCCTAACAGCACTCACACTGACCACGGCTTTGTCCCCCAGCCCCAGCCTCCCTTTAAAGCACCAGTCACCTCTGCGTACTCAGAGTGGCCCTCAGCTCGCCCCCTACTGCAGTCGGTACTGAGTAAAATCGTTTTCACTGCTTTAACTGATGTCTGGATTTATCTTTTTCTTATTTTTTGTAGAGATGGGGTCTTGCAGTGTTGTCCAGGCTGGTATTGAACTCCTGGGCTCAAGCGATCCTCCTGCCTCAGCCTCCCAAAGTGCTGGGATTGCAGGTGTGAGCCACCGCACCTGGCCTAGCTTTGTTTGTCCTTGATGGTATGGACTGAACTGGCCCTTCAGCCAGTCGTCCTTGGGAGATGCGGTCCCTAGATTGTCCCCAGAAAACCCAGTGGCTTCTTGTGGGTGGTAAGGAGAGACAGAGAAGAAGAAAACTCCCACTCTTGGTGGCACCAGTTCTTCCTGCAGTGGGGGCAGCTCTGGGGGGTCTGTGCCCCTCTTCCCTGTGGATGGGCCCCACAGAGGCAGGGGCCACAGGCAGCAGGTTTCTTAGGCCTGGTCCAGCCCAGCTCTCTGCGCAACCACTGCACCAAGACTGGGAGGGCACTTGACCCAAGCCGGGCCCTGGAGACCAATTAGGAATGAGAGAGATCAAAGCCAGACAGAAACTTCCCTGGAAGAGAACACAGGAGGCAGCTCCCGGGCTCAGCACCCCCACTCTGTACAAGCCCCCCGGCTGTCGCTGCCACCCCGGGGTGAGGGTGGGCCTCTGACCAGCGCTTGCCAGACAGGGATGGGCCAGAGGACAACCCAGCTCCCTTTTGCTCCAAAGTAGACCCGGGCTGGGGGGCCAAGGGGAGCCCAGTATGTCCCGAAGGGAACCAGTGGTTCCCCCACCCCTGGAAACTTCCAGAACCCCTTGCCCCAGCGCTGCGCAAGGCTGGCAGAACTTCTAGGAGTGAGCTTTCTGGAGTGTGGGGAAGGCTGCACCTCCCCACGTCCCCACTTGTCCCGTGGCACCTACCACTTCTGTAAG